CGGTCACTTTGACGCTGTGCGCTGGCTCCATGAAGTCTACGGGCTGTGTCGAACCCACGCCGCCTTGACCACGGCAGCCTACATTGGCCACATGGCGATGGTGACGTACCTCTTGGACGTACCGACGGCCAATGGCGACGATCAGAGTGACAGAGCCGACGGGTTCACGACCAGTGCAACTATATTGTGGGCGCAAGATAGCTGGCATCACACAGACAAGTACGCCGTAGGCTCCGCGGTGTCGGCGGCAGCCAGCCAGGGCCACTTGGACATTCTCCAATTGCTCGTCGAGCGTGGCCATCGAGTACATCCGACTGCGATCAACGAAGCCGTGTCGAAGGGTCACCTGCCCGTCGTGTGCTACCTCCACGAGAGCTTTGGCCAGCACTGCAGCTTCCAATCCCTCTTGGCTGCCTTTGGGGACGCCATCTCGACACCGTGACGTACGTGCTCTCGCATCGTTGCTGGCTCGACGAGCCCAATCTGCGCCCCGACGAGGGGTTCGATCGGATGACGCACAGTCTGTTCTTGGCCGCTGCGCACGCTGGCAGCCTCACCATCTTGCAGCTGGTTTGCGACGCAGTAAAAGAGCCGACAGCGCGATTGATGCAGCTGCCACGCCGCGTCTCGGAGCGCATGATGATCCGCGCGGCAGCCCACGGCCACCTCGACATGCTCCGGCATTTGCACGACGTCTACGGCTTTGCGTGGACAGGTATGGTACATGCGGCAGCCGGTCACCACGGCCGCAAGAAGGTACTGCGCTACTTGAGCTCGCTTGGATCCGTCACGTTCGAGTCTGGCGACTCTAGTTTGCGGATTGAGGAATATAATTCGTCTTTTCTGCCGTACATGCGCGCCGAGTTGTTGCTAGTACACGAGACCAAGTTGCGCTGCAATTGCGTCGGCATTGGAGGAGCCACGACGTCCGAGGCCGAGAGACCGATATCAGTTGCATACCGGAACAAGATTCTGGCCCTTCGTCAAGCGGCCACCGTTGGCGAGCTCGCGCGAGCGAGCGTAAGGTTGCGATAGCCTTGGTCCACGCATTTGGTGCAAACTCGATATGGTTTCATTGTATCCGGATAGGATGAACCTCATCCCCATGCCTCATCCCACTGTCGCCGTCAGACAGCCGGCGCGTGCTGCCTGCGCGCTTTCCTCGTGGACACGATATCCGGATACGAGACACGAGCACAATACAGTATTGCCATTCGGCAACATGCCCAAGCCATCCCTCACGACGGTAGCCGTGGCCACCGCGTTTGCCGCTGTCGCCGCCCTCGCTGACTCCATGTACACCGAGCTCCTCGCACTGCCAGATGCAATCTTGGTCGTAACGAGCGTCATCGCCACCGTCGTTGCCGCCATCGGTCTCGTGCATCTTGTGGCGACGCGGGGCAACCCATCGTTCTCGGTGTGTTTGTGGTCATCGTGTGCTGCTGCACGCTCTTGGCCTACGCCATGCAGGCCATTTCTATCAACACCAACGCGATCGAGACCGCGCCGATGCTCACGATACACCAGCACGACATGGAGGCGTACTATGCCTCGGAGAAGGCACGCAAATACGAGCACCTAGAAACGCTCAGGAGCTGGTCCCGCTGGTCGGAACTCTTTAGCGATGCGTACCCAGAAACGGCGGCGAATGCATTTACGGACGCGTACTGCGTGAGTGAAGGCCACCGCTTCTGCAGCGCCTTGCCGCTTGTCCAGACCATTTTGTTTCCTGGCATGTGGCCCCACCTGAACGTGACGGCTGAGATTGCGCGCACTTTCTCGACGCTTCCAGCAACGTTCCTCAACGTCACGGTGACATCGACGACGACCATCACCAGCTTCTGCGCTACCGTCAACCAGACGAGCTTGCTGCACAACGAGTCGCTACTTGGTGATCTCTCCACTCTCTGCCGTGGTTGCGCC